AATACTTGTCAAAGACAGAATTTTTACTGATTCACACTTGATTTGCTATGGCCCAGAAATGACAATGTCCAACTCACCTGCTCAGAGGTTTTATAAAAGGCCACTGAGGCATTGACRAGTTTGAGCCTATCCTCCATCTTCAGCATCAGCTGCTGCCAGTGCAGGGCCACCTTCTCGGCACATTCTCTGATGGCATCRGCATCATAATGTCCAGCCTGCAGCAACACTTCAGCCTTCTGCTGGACCTGCAGGGCACTCTGGTGTGTCTTCTGTAAGGAAGTGGCATGAAAGAGGGACTGTGTATGAGGGGAGGAAAGAGAGGTTGTACAGATGYGCCAGACGTATGGTAGAAAGGTGAAGCGAGGCGTGAGCATGGGGATGCGAGAGAGYGAAATATTTTCAGAGAGTTATCTTCTGTTAACAGTCACTTTATGCAATGCTTTTTAGTTTTCAGTTATTTACACACATTTGCAACATGTTATTAAAGCTTGGAACATGTAAGCACTGCTGAGATGGGATGGCTGCACTGGYCACCCCAGCACGGGGTGGGGTTCCCAGGGGTCCATCCTGACAGCCTGGTGCTCAGCTCTTGTGCTGAGCTCTCASCCAGCCTCAGTGCTGACTGCACCCCATCCAATCTGCAGACCCAAAAGAAACTCTAAACAGYTGGCAAACTGTGAGCCTAATCACCCTATTATGGCTCTTGCCAGGCAGTTGACCTGGCATCAGCAGCTTTACTTGTGCAGTTGTTCAAAACACCRACCCCAGAAGATATGAGGATGTCTTATTGAAGGGCATGGTACAGGTATCAGCCCTCTGTAATATGCATTTCTGAAAGTCAATTYACTCATACAGAAGATTAGACTTATGCCACTGCCTTTAAGGTCAGAGCTAGGGAGAGTCAAACCATTCCCTCCACCATTCCCCAATTTACTCAGCAGCCACTCCRCAGGTATGGCTGAGTTATCTGCCCCATTGCCCAGCCTACACCAGCCCCTCTCAGAGTTACCAGGTGGTGGCTATGCCTTCCTCTGTGAGCTGCTGAAATAGCCCCCATCCCTTCACAGCCTCCTGAGTAACTCTGTTCAGACATGTTTTAGTCCAGTATTCGATTTTAATCTTCTGAACAGAAGCCCTGAAATCTCTCAGACTCCCCTGTGCTATGTCCCATTTGTAACTGCTGCTGACAAATTCTCATGTGATAGCTTTATGATCTAAGCCATGAACCTGGAAAAAAGCTTGAAATCATCTGGTAATACACTGATGAATAATGTAATGTAGAGAAAGCTATTAGGAAACAAAAAGGATAAATACTTGGCAGAAACTTAGGAAGATGTTCAAGAACAACTGGTTAAATTTAATATCCAGCTGCTATACTGATGTTAGAATTGTAATACTTGTTTGAAATAGACTTTAAAGGATTTCAACTGAAAATCAATTCCACATCTAGCATGCTTWTAGAGAACAATCTGCTTTGTGTGCTTTGCTGGTCTCTTCCCCATACTGAGCTTAAATACTTTAAATATTTAATCTAGTGTTTTATCCTTCTGAAAACTTATTTTCCCCTCACTGTGGTGTAACCCTCTTCTCCCTCTGCGATTTGCATTTACCACCAATGCAAGCACTTCCCCAGTGTCAGAATCTGTGATAACTCAGCCAGTGGGTGTCTTGTTCCCCACTGCTGCCTGGTGGTGGCTGCCAAGATGTGGTCAGCACAGCTTGATACCAGCCAGCTCACACAGAATTGTTAAAAAACTTCTTCCTTTTCCTTCAGGAGCTGCAACAGCTGCTCCTTCCATACTCTGAGTGGAGCTGGTTCAAAATAAGTCATTAGCTGAGATTTAAACCCTGTATTTATTAGCATCACTATAATGCATATTGACTCCAAGTTCACCAGGAGACATCCCTGCCTCTTCCSCCCACCTCCCACCCCATTCAGGCATCTCTTCAATCTCCATACTTTCATAGTTTAAAGTTTGGTTTATTTTACAGGTATGCTGGGATTTTGCAGCTTGTTCTTTGSTCTGTAACAAGCTAACAGCATAAACTGGGAAGCAGACACACCTTTTCAGCTGGAACAGGACAAAGCAATGGCACATTTTCCYATCAACTGATGTGAGCACATCCTGTGAGTGCAGGGCTTGCTCACAACAACAGAGATACACAAAGCACTGAGCTTAACCAGGAATCTTSCACTCTACTCCTTGTACTCAGGGCAAACTTCAGCCCTGCTCTACCTTCTCATTCAAAGGAAAACTGCTCAGAGCAGGGGCTCTTCCTCCTGGCCCTGTGAGTCAGGCAAATGGGATGACTTACARTCAATTTTCAAGGGCCACCTCAAACTCCAGATCAAGAAGGAGCAAAAGCAGCTCAGGAGCCCATTTTTAAAAATTGCCCTCCTTGCCTTATCATCAAAATTATTTGAGGCTGWGGGGTTGAATGAGTTTTTTTTCTGCTGTTCATGAAAGGAAAGGTGAATGAAAAATGATTTAGTGTAAGAGCATTATACAGTAACAAAGTTATTCAAAAATGAATGCTGTGAAATGATGTGCAAACTSTGGATGTGGGAAGAAACTGACTTGACAAACTTTTTGAATTTTAATCTTCTTAATTTTTTATCAAAGAAATTATCAGGAGATGCATGAGTGTCATTTCATGAACAGAAAAGCTGATACCTGGCAGCAGAAGAATTAGCTGCGGGTGATAAATAATTTACTTATTAGCCTCTGGCTACATTATGAGTTTAACRATAAGTTGATTTTCTAAACCTTCCATTCCTCTCCTTCCTTCAAGAAAGGATTGATGCCCATGAAATAACCTTTTGTATGATGTTGACCTGGGAAGGAGAAGCAAATTTAACTTSTTGTTGTTACCTCTATTGCCAGCTGGAACTGCTCGTGCTCTCGCTGGAGCTGCTCGGCCTCTGAGAGAGAACTCGCGTTGACAAGGCTTGCATTCAGCATTGACTCCCCATTCCTGATCCAGCCAAGCACCTGCAAAGAGAGGATGTGATATGGAAAGGCTGCTTCAGCATCAGGGTTTATGCAGTCAACTATCAGAAAAAGCTTCAGCCTGGCTGAATGAATGCGGTCTTGAGCTGAATCTGTGAGGAGAAAGAAATCCTAGGATAAGGCCTTACTGACACACAGTTTTAGAGGGCAAAAATCTCACTGAAAAAGTTATTGCTTGAAGAATTAAACTACTTTTACATTTATATCCATTTACACAGATATTTGGAGAGCAAAGAGCACTCATTTCCAAGGTTTGATCACAAAGTGAATGGTCCCCTGTGCAAATACCCCAGAGCAAAACCACAAAGCATAATGAGGGAAATTTAAACATATTTTCAAATTTCCAGCTGGAATCATTGATGGTGCAACACCTTTCTGCTTCACTTGCCTGTGTTTCTTTCACACAAAAGTCTGAGCTTAGGGGTGAGGAAGGAGAAGACACAGTTGGTTTCATCTGGCATGGAGTTAAGATGCAGTTGGAGTTTCCACCTGCACACAGAGCTAGGAAAAAATGTCAAGTCTTGCATTTTGTATTTAATCAAGAGGCTTTACTTCAGAGATGTTCAAATTATTTGTAGACAAGCAATCCATGCTATAATGACTGCAGAATCAAATCCTAAATGTACATAATTAATCTATCAAGGTTTTACTCCCTCATTTAAGCAGCAACATTTTCTGCTATTTTAAGACTCGTGTTTGGGGAATTAGCACCCAGAACACAAGYGTAAGTTCTTCCCTCAAAGCCTATTTTCCACTTGTGAAGGTGTCAAATTAGTCCAGTAAAGCCAGAAAGTTGCTGARTCCAATTCACAGATGCACAGGAAACCCTGACTGCTCAATCACTGCCCTAAATTTAGCTCATGATTTCCAAAATTGTCTTTACTGCAATAGTCTACATAGCAATTTCCCTTTTGTACTATCATTTTCTCCAAGTGATCCATTAAATTGCCTGAAAGAAACAGGGATTTTCTGTTGTTTTATTTGTCATCCCTAGATCCCTACATGCATCACCCTAGTTAGTGCCATTCAGTTCCCYGTAGGGTAAGAAAATGAGTTTTCCCTAGGAGAAAAAAGTGAGACATCCATACATGTAGCTGACCCCAATTTGTAGAAAATTACATTCTGCTCAGTACAACAGTGTGGAAGATTTCATTTTGTTCATTTCTCTTTCATCAGCAGGTGTAATTGTTCCTGTGGGAAATGCATCACACATTTAAAGGAAAAGCAATCGAGTTATCATATGGCAATTGCATTGGCTGGCATTTTCTATAATCCATCAGACTTAAACCCTACATTATTACCAACCACATGGTACCAAATGCTGACATTAATCAAGGATCATTGTACCTGGGAAAGGCTTGAATTGAGGACACCATGAGGAAACAAAATGCTTTCACATTTTACATTCTCCAATACAGCCTGGCATGGACCAYTTGGAAAGTAGAAAACACAGAGCATGGATGCTAAAAATATAGCATTATTTTTCCTCTGTGAAACAGCTTTTATTTCAGCTTGATTTTTCAAAAATTGCCACAGACAGTCTGACACACATTTCACACAAATATCTAAGTCTCTAAATAATAAAACATCAGAAAAAAAAAAAATCTATGGAAACTCAGTCTTAAAACAAAGCAACTTSATTAGGAAGAGGGACCTCATAGCTAATCAGCCAGGTTTCCTCTAGTGTTAACAACACACATTCATCCCCCTGCACAAGTGTGATGCAGACTCATAAGCACCCAGAGGAAAGCAATTCAGCTCTGATGGACCCCATGTGCCAGCAATGCTGACAGCACTGCTCCTGACCAAGGCTGCTGTCACCCCTGAGCAGCTCCACTCTCTCCTTCCTCTCATTGTGGGGCTCCCACATTTCCCCTTCCAGGCCCTGGTAACACTAGCAAATGTTGCGTGGAAGAATTTAAATAGTGACCCCTTTCTACTTCCACAAGTCTGGCACTTAAATATCAGAGCCTCATTATTTATTTTCATGGTAATGTTTTTACTTGTGTGCGCTGTTTACATACAGTAAGGAGAAAAGAAACTTTGGTTGTGCAACTGAGTTTAAGTCTAAGCACAAAAACCAGTCACTTGCAGAGACATTCCTTGTGTCCCTGGTTTAAAATAGAGAACTGGCTGAAAGGGAGAATTTACATGTTTGTATCTGGTTTACAAGACCAGCTCACAAATTGACTCCTACTCATATACTGCTTAATACCTTTTCATTAAAATATATAAAGAACCTCCTAAAACAGCACCAAGACATTTCTGCAGTCATTTCCTGCATTAATAGATTCACCACTGTTCAGCAACGTGCAGGCAGGACAACCCTAAAAGATTGCTTTAAACAGAAACTTCCTACAAATTACACGTTTTATCTTTGTAGCTTATTTTAGCTTTGTAGAAGCAGTGATTAAATGATTCTGGAGTTCAATAAATCTTCAAAGACCTTCCTTTACAGCCTAACAATTTTTTATTTTTAATAACAGAGAAGATGAAACACTTTTACAGGATCTCTTGTAAAAGACACTTGTTACTGGAGAAGGGYTTCCCTGCAAGGCATGGGCTGTTTAACAGGGCAACCACCACACTCTGAAACAACTCCCACCTTTGACTCCAATTTGCTTTACAGAGGCCATGCTCCTGCACAGGGATTCTCTGTAATTAAATAATAGTACCAAATACTCCTAAAACTCATMATTTCTTCCCCTGGAACTCTGCTGTCTTCTCTGAACACAGAGTCAAACTCTACAGGAAAAATAAAGATTGAGGCACCCCTTGTGCAGCCACCCCTAAGAAATGAGAGCTCTGCCCCATGCAGTGCTTTTGTCCACTGTCAGAATGCCTTCCTTCGCATTTCTAAAAAAGACTTAAGGCCCTGCAATGGATACKTGTCCAGTCAGATGAGAAAATACTTTTAAGTTTAAAAGACAATACATTGTAAGTGAATCTTTTACACCTCCAGACACTTTGCATCTTCCTTGAAAAACTTTCACTAACACAGACTCAACCACCAGCAAGGGCAGCTCCTGGTAATTTTAGCCAAGTTTAAAACTGCATCAATTTTCCAGGAGCTATTTGACATTAAATTAAGAAAAAACAAATATATTCAGTGTCTCTCAAATGAATAATTCCCATCATCCCTTGGGCATATACATTTTGAAGCAAATCTAATGCCGAACAGCAAAAGTAGATGGATAACAAGCACATCAAAAGGATTAAATATACTTCAAAACAACCTGGAAAGCAACTATAGTGGGACACTGAGGATATCTTGAAGCAAATTAGGTCAAGTTCAACACTTATCAAAAAGAAAAAGCCCAAACTATACRAAGATAAATTAAGGGGCTGGGGAAGCCAAACAGCTGCAGGCACAGCATTAGAGTTTGTTTTTTTAAACTGATCTCCACAAATCTATTGTGCTATTACTTTCATGTACGCAATCCAAGTTCTGTAGTTTCTGTCAGCAATAAGTGGGATTCAAATGAGGGAAAATCAGGCTTGGGCAGGATCTTTCTTAATAACAAAGAGCTTGTGAATTACTGATCTTTACTATTTCCACTCTAAAGCAGTTCACAGAACATCTCATTTGGAATTGTTCCACTTTAATGGCCCCAAACTTCAATTCATTGTCTTGGCATTCAAACCCTTGGTGCATATGATATAAAACAGAAATCTCTGGTAAATGAAACATAAATAGATAGAGACAGTTAAAAGACTTTTTATTTCCATGAGCCAGTATATCAAAATGCAAACACATGTACATGTAGCAGCCTTGACCAATTTTACTCTGTCAGCAGAACTTAACACAGCTAGAGGAGGTGTCTTGCAACAACCACATCTCAACTCATTCACAAGAGAAAGAGCAATTTGGTAATGAGATCATCCATCATYTCAGATGCACTAAACTAAAGTGAAGGAAACCTGGACCAGACTGGAGATGAACTACAAGCCAAAATCAATATATTTCCCGATTTCACTAAATGGTTRGGAATATGACTCATTTACAGGAAACCAAACAGAGAGGACACAGAAATATTTTACCCTGCCTCTTTTTAAGGGAGACTGTTGCTGTGGTAATTTATAGGTTAACAAGCAAAGGAGGCCTCAGTACTCAGCTGAACAAATAAAATGTTTTTTCACTACTGGTTTGCTGAGAGGTCACATAATAACAAAGGCTCTGATGGTCCCAAGCTCTGCTAAGGAAATGCTAATTCAAGGCAGCTGTTCTTTCTCAGTAAGCATTAGATAGCCCAGTCCTATAACCATTTCCTTTGGGTAGATTTTGGCTGTAAAACAGTTAAGGACCAGCAGATATTTGTTAATAAGRCAAGGGCTGCACTGACACTGTAAGGCTGCAGGAGCAGCCACAGYGCTGACTGACTGCACTTCATCCAAGGCAAGTGGGCAACCTGCATCTTTAGCCTTTCTGMCACACATGGAACTCCTCTCTGTTTGCTGTCGTAAGTTAAAACGGCTGTACTTCATCATAAATCTATCACACACACACCTCCAAGCTTAGCTAAGCTGTGTATAAGAAACTTCAGGAATCTGCAGAAAAAAACTAGGACATACTCCACAGAGTGTTTCTGGGTTTTGCTTGGTTTGTTTTCTTTTTTTTTTTTCCACCCAGAAGAAAGTCAAAGCAGTTTACAGAGCTCTGGAACTTTGTGAGGAGTTGATCTTCAATAAATCACAAATGAAAATGACCACATTTTAAAAATAAAAAAAAAAATAGGAAAGTTTTAGGTAGAGTTGCAAAACATCCACATCAAAGTGGATTTTGAAAGAAAATGTAGGCACTGGTGTTGGTGCTGTCAGCTGAGTGTGAAGGATCTTTTCTTGCCAGCAATGATGAAACAATTCAGATAAATCATCACTCAGTTATTCTGTCTTCAAAAGTGAGTATTTATGATCCTATGTCCTGAGCATTCAGCATGTGTGTGTGTGTAAGTAAACAAATGAGCAAATCTTGTTCATGAACACCTTGCAGTATCTGAACACCYCTCCACCCACCTATTTGTAAAAGTAAAATGGAATACTGAATAATTCAGGTGTCTGGAAAAATATTCTTGGCTTTCCTGATGAAATCAAGACCATTCAATTAAAATCCAGACATACACTGGAGTGTGAAGCCACCCATGGGCAAGGAAGCAGGAAGTGTAATGTTATCCTGTGCAGCAACGGAAAACAAAGAAACATGAGGCATCCACATTAAATATTAGGGAAAACTAAGGGAGGCAGAACATGACTGCTAGGATGGAATATGAAAGAAAGGCAATACAATAATACTGAGATGTCTAAACAAGTCCTAGGATCTAGATACCACTGAGAGAATTTTTTCAATCATAAGATGTTAAGGATTTCCGCAGGTCAACAGATATATAAATGAAAAGGTAAAACTACCAAAATGTTTCTTAGTTCTCAGAGCTCAGTTTCCTTTGCTTTCAGCCTGTTCTTCACCTCAGCTTAAGTCTGGATCACAAATCAAATAATTATATTCCCAGAACACTTGGAGTTTGAGACCGCTTTGCCAGCTGAGAAGTTAWGGGGTCAGTTCTGCACAGAATTCCCACAACGAATCACAAACCCCAAAACATGCACACTTGGGGAAGCATAGACACTCCTTTCTTGCAAAGGGCCACTCTGTAACTTGTCAGCAAATCAAGCACTGTTAAGGCAGGGGGGATTTAGATTGCTCACCTAAAGGTTTGTCCCTCAGCAGACYCTGGCTCAGCAGTTTGAATGTGTGCAATGGCTGAAAACCCCAAAACCCCCTTAAGCCCCTCACGTGTGGTTAAAAATCTCTCACCTGCTTGACCTCGGCCTGGAGGTGCCGGAGCTGCAGGCACTGCTCTAACCTCTTGTGAGTTTGGTCAGCATTAAGCTCCAGCTCGTGTTGCTTCTCATGAAGGAATTCCAGCAGCTCTTGAACCTGAGTCGCAAGATCAATGTCTTTTTCGCAGATCAGCTCGATGCCTGTAACAAGCACAGAGAAATTGAAATTTCAATTTTGCATAAATGTAAGCTTCAAATTTTTTTGCCACCTAACACATGGATTTGCAACTCTTCGAGTAATTCTTTCTCACATGTAATATTTGGCTTTCCCAGCTTCCTACTCTTCATCACCACATTTTKCTACAGATTGGGAATTCTCTGGTGATCATTGCTCAACTGAATCATCAACATCTGGCCAGTAGGACATGAGTTAAACCACAGTGTTGCTCAAAAACTTGCATGAACATAAAATTGAAAAAAGACAGAAAAAAATTTTTCTTTTTTAGGGTAAGTCATAGACATAATTTAGAAATGCATGTTTAAAAAAAAAATCTAAAGGAGAAAACAAATGGGGAAGAAAATACAAAAGTGAAATCCAGGAAGTAAACTCTAGCCACCAGATGTACAGTAGTGCTWCAAGTGCAGGGAACTCCACAGGGAAAACTTCTTTCCATCTGGATGCTTGTGAGAATCATTAACAATGAATTAGTTTAAATCAGACTTTAGYTCATTCAGAATTATTCCACGGATAGACTTTCATCCAATCCCCACGTATCAGAGAGAAAAGGTGTCTTAGTAGCACAGCCCCCTCCCTTGCATCCTATGTCAAATTGATAAACGCCTCAAAGGCCTGGTCTGATTTCATAGCTGGCCCTGACTTGATCAGGAGATTGAAATAAAAACTTCCTGAGGCTCTTTGTATCTCCTGAATGTTTTTCTGACACTGGGAGCCTTGTGTGTGGTGGTTACATGAGACAGCGTGAGCTTCACACCTTCCTTGCAGCTGACACCGGACTGTGGTTCACTGCCAGCACAAGGGGGAGGTTTGGCCTGGAGGAAATGTGCTGTCACCCCACGTTACTGCAGTCCCCAGGATTATAAACTAATAAAGATCTCTTCCCTTATTAAAGTCTACTGGAATTTTGCCACYGGCCCCAAAGCAGGAAGGATAAGGAAGCTAATATAAAAATAATGTGATTGCAGTAATGCTGAGAAAACACTGCACTTTCCTTCAAAGCCATTTGATTTCAAGGAATAATAGAACATTAAAAATAATGTAAAAATATTAATTAGAATAGTTGCTGAAACTATTAATTAATTATTAATATTAATAGAAGTTATTAATTAGAAGTTGCTGAAAAAAGACTTGGATGCTATTTWAAAAACCCATTTAGAAAGTTGTCTTTACCTCTCCCTTTATCCTCCTCAGAGACTCATGACTTTCATTCAGCAGTATSTACACAGGACAGCACACAAAATAAATATGACCTTATTACTAACCCTATCCCCTTTTCCGGGTTCTTGGTTTTGTCAAAAAAAGCACATGGGAATGCAAATGATTGGCTTATTCCCCTTCCCAGCCAAAACAAAACAGTTCCTTCATTACCAAATAAAGTGGAATGGCCCCTGGCTTCCCATTTAAAACTGGAAATTTAATATATGTTTCTATTCTTGGGAGTGAAGTTCCTTTCAATTGCCAGACACCAGGCATTGTTGCTGCAATTAGCCTGCATATGGTTCTGTATCCCGAGGACATGATGGCTTTTTGTATGCTTGACTTCCCCGCACCTATTGGATATTAAATGCACAGCTTTCCCTCCTGCACACTCAGCTGGTGCRGCTCTGATCATGCAAACTCATCAGCAGCAACCAGGGAACTGCCTGGGATGCCATCCAAGGGCACCGTGTGCTCCCCATGATGAATGATCTGCCCTTTCCTGCTTGTCATATGTCACGCAGATTTATTCTGCAGCGCTTTTTCTTCTCAAGTATTGGTTGGCAAAATGGAAAGTCCTGTTTCCAGGATAATTCCATACATATTATCTTTACATTGTGTTTTGACAGCTAGAAAAGCACAGCTGACTTTCTGAGAAAATGAACTCAGTTGCCATTTTCTTCTAATGTCTCAAACTGTGCAGCAGATGTCAAGTGAATGATATTRAACTGAAAATGTTTCTAAAGAATCCTACAGGAAAGAGTACTGAGCCACACTGGCATCCTRCAAAACATCCATTAGTGACACCTGAACTGTTTGCCATGTGAGATACAATTCAGTCTAGACAAGGGGTAGTGCACTGTAACCTGTACAAAACTATCCTGGAACTGCTTTAAACCCACTTTAGACTGAAATATTAGGAGCCTCTGAACACAGAGTTTATATTCTCTTCTTTGCAATATAAATCACAGTTATAATTAACTACAAAGGACAACACAAACCAAGTGAAATAGATTTCTGCTTCCCTTCTAAGCAGTGCAACACTTGGAAAAGAGGTGRACAATGCTAGCTTGATGATCAAGAAGGAAAAAGGACTTTAAATTTTACATATATCAGGTAGGTACTGAATAAATGTCCCCAGCTTCAGCTCTACAGTGTATTTCAGGTTTGACTTGGAACCAATTTGTCTAACAGAAAAAGGGAGCTCTAAAAACCTTAAGAGACTCCCAACATTACAACAATTATACTGACAATGGGCCTCATTACAACAATTATACTGACAATGCAAATGGACTATAATAATCAAATAAATTTGTGCAATCARTTAACCAGCTATTGAAGTGTARCTGCTTTTAATACCTAAAATCAGACTAAYGAAGGTGCATATGCTAATAAAYKACCTGAGYACRYCATCTCCACAGCTTGGATCCAAGTGCTAAATCACTCCTGAMTAATTACCTAAACTTTCCATGGAAAATGCATTTCTCAGAAACATCCAAGTTGTCACTTTTGGAAACAGCCCCTTCAACATATCAAGTTAGGCACAAAAAAAAAAAAAAAAAAAAAAAAAAAAAAAAAAAAAAATCAATAACCATTTCTGAGAGTATTTACCCACATATTTAGCTTTGCCATCAGCCATAGAGCTACAATCAAACAGGAAAAATAGCAGATAGGTTCCCTGAAATAAAAAGTCCTTGCTCATTAAAAACTCCACTCCTGTTGGGAATACTGYTATAATATTCTCTACATGCAAATATGGCTTTGATTGACACAGATTTTAGTGACGATTTGCAAGKACTGCAAAATTTCAGGAAACGCAAACTGACTTCCAGATCTTACCTACTCCCTGACAAAACCAAACATTCCTTTAAAAACTAATTAKTCTGATGGTGAAAACAGGCTAACCCAGGCTCACTCAGACGTGCTGGAGTTGTAGAAGGAATCACAGGTACATAATCCTGAGCTGTATGGAACTTTGCAAATTGTGGACTTGCACAGATGCCCTCAATATCCACAGAGTCTGACCTGGCACATCACAGAACCACTGGATTTATTGTACCAACATGGGAATATTCACAGGGATTTCCAGACATTCTACAGACTGGTAAGGGTCAGTGCTCCAAGTCTGCATCAGATAYGCAAAAATAATGGGTGAATGTCTAAAATCTTCTTTTTCTATCTCCAGAAGACTTCCTAGTGAAAAAGACATCAGAAATGGAAACACCTGGATGTAATTTCATCTGACAGATTTGCTCACTTAAAGACCTCCAAGCCAAACGATGGAGTGATCAAAATCAAGTCAGTTCCTGTGTGGCATGTTGAAAAGAATAAAGCTCAAAGAGAGTTATAGAAAAGGGAAGAAACTTGGTCAATTAAGGGTGGCTGTTTGGGTAGAATGGCTCTGAAAATCACTTTTTTTTTGGCTTTATCTTCTGCAGCTACAGCTGAGTTTTGATTGTAGCAGTGGTGACAGTGTACAATAGGAAGCAGCAATAGCAGCTGATTTCCCAGAACCCCTGCAAGTTTTCAGCTCTGGCAATTAGGAATAATCATCCCTTACTCTATGCACTGAACAGCTATGACAAAGGATTCAGGAAGAGGGAGTAAAATTAAATCCCTTTTTTTATGATGTATAACTGTCCTTTATTGAAGTAAGAAGCAGTAGGTTCCCAAGGGCTTTCTCCCTTATTTTTCCATTCTCCCAGCATTTAGCATTCCATGCATAGCAGCCATGGCCATTACCTTTGATTAACTACAGTTACTCTTCATCCCCATGGGACTTCTGCTCCCCTGCTTTTGGGAGCAGTGGATTTTTATTGGGTAGGCTTCATAGAAAGGGATCTTAGATAATCTTACAAAAACATTTTAAAAGTCAATTCATTGAGTTGCTAACCTTCTGTCAGCAATCCAAAAGAAGTTGTTTCTAACTTCTTGACAAACACAGAATTTATTTATTTTTTTTATTTTTTGAAAGTCAGTCACTGAGGCTCCTGACTGTGCTCTGYTCTGGATCATATTCTTTACCTCCCATGGATTCCTACCCATGATTCTTTCAGGATGAAAAAAACAAACAGAAGAGTACAAACTTCTTAACCAATGTATTAGAAGAAGTTTTCTAACTCAGAAAGCAGGGAGGCTGAAGCACAGGGCCAGGCATTGCGTGGGCAGATCTCAGAGAGGCTCACAGAATGCACCAAATTATCACGCTCACAACACACTCTTGAAGCAGTCCTCAAGCCTCTGYTGAGTGCAGCCTGCCAAATCAGTCTGGATACTGCCAGATTGTTTTGAAGGCAAATGCCTAGATGTAAAATATCTTCCAAAGAATACAACCATAAAATCCTTTTTATTTCAAATGAGGGAAAGAACAGGAACTGCTCTTATACTGCACTCTTTCCAAACATTTTAGAAGGACAAAGCACTTCACAAGTAATATTCACTTCTGAGCTTTATGCAGTGATTAATCTGAATTATGGTATTTCCTYTCCAAACGCAAAATGCAAGGATACAAAAATCCTGATTCTTAGGATATATCAGAAACAGGATCTTACGCTGAGAAGCAGAGTAAAATCAGACAGATTCCCTATCCAAATGAATCAAGACTTTCATTTAAGAGCACATCTCAAAGGGCTTTTTTACACAAAGTTGCTACCTTTAACTTTAAAGTGCACTTGGAAAAGGAGACTTCCAGTATAGCTCATCATATTCCCTTGTCACACAAAACAATTCCAAGCAGAACTGGCTGGAAATGAGAGTTCCATTTCATGACTGATTTCAAGGCTCTCATACTTGGATTCTCTCCCAGAGGACTCTTAGATAACTAGATTCTTTCTCCCCTTACTCCTCTSTCTCTTTCCCTGGGGATGTTTGCACCCTGAAATGGGGCCCAAGGAAAAGGTACTTGAGGCTGCAGAGAGTGAAGCCAGCACATCTGGGCACTTTGACTCTCACTAAAGCCTTTTTGCAGTAAGATTCACAACCTTACGAGTCTAGAGTGACTAGAATTCCTCCAGACCTGAGGTCTGACTGCCCAGTTCAAAGATCTGTAACTCATGACTACAGTGGAGTCTGAGCTGGAACAAGGACAAGGAGCTTGTCTTGCCCTCCCCTCTCCATCCAATTTAGAGTCAATCACAAACTCCACCCTGCAGCTGTGARACTTTCTGAATGGAACTTGAAAGCMARCTTCATTTTCCTSAATGAGTTTCAGTCTCATAGAAACAGCAGGTTTTTATATAAAATCCTGAATCAAAATTCCCAAAACTTGTGGAACAGTTCTGGGAGCAGGGAGACAGATATTGCGTATAATTATATTAAAAGTTGATTTACTTGTTATGTACTGCAGTATTTTTGCTTGATACCTATGAGGGGATCTTGAGTGTTTCCTTGTTTTGTCCTGAGGTTTTTTTCTGTGTAAAATAGAGATCAAATTGTTCTGCTCACCTGAAGCCTGGACCTCCATGATGTATTGGTGCAAGTCCTGCCCTTGCTGGATGACTTCAAAGGTCATGTTGTTCATGGCCAATTTCCGCTCCGTGTGACGCTGCAATCGCTGCTCTGCCAGAGTGAGATCCTCAGTATTGAAATCATTCATTTGCCTCAGCAGATCTTCATTCCAGGCATCCAACTCTGCTGTAACCTTCATGGGCAGAAGACAACACTGTATTCACTCAGGATCAATTAAATATTTTAATCTCAAACAATGTTTAAATCACAAAATACTTCACATTTTAACTCTGATCCAGAAACCTTCAAACCACAGCCTCAGTACACTCCAGATCCTGCCCACTTAATGGTCACACTTTACATTTTTCTTAGGTGAGGATCCATGAAAAGATTATCAGTCCAGCAAGAATTCTGYCACCTTCCTTTTCCCTTACACATCCCTAAGGACACTGGAAGAGAAGACCCACTGTATTCTCATTGATGGTAGAGAAAATGTTTTTTAATATAATCAAATTAAGTGAAAAAATAAAGCTTCCAGAATTACAAAACACCCTAYAACCACACAATCCCAAAATGTCCTGAATGTTTTTAAAATCATTTTGCAACACACTACATATCACAGATGTAATGCACGACACAAAAACATCACACTCAAGGTTTAGGTGAATCACCTGCAGATTCACAAATGRTACCTGGCTGTAATGAAAGACCTGCTTGTAACTCCTGGGAACGTGCAAAATCTTCTTTGCTTTCTCTGCTTCCTGTGACACACAGGCTGATRATTTTAGCAGTCCATTTATTGTATCCTCTGCATTTTACATCTTTCTCCAGCTGGTATCAAAGTCCTCCATTTTTGCCTTTGAAATTAAAGCAAGATCTAGTCTCCACCTAAACAGCCTGGTCTCACCTCAGCCCAGGCTCTGCTACTGCAGGCAAAAAAGAGGGAACATGCCAGTGACAATGAATGAGGGAGGGGGGACAAGGGAAATGGGAATTAAGTCGTACAGTRCAGAATACAAGTCTTAGATTTAAAATTATTAAATAAATGCCTTAATTCTGCTTAATAGGTCAATTCCTCATAGCTAGATTCAGGAGAGCTAAAAGTAGGTATCTACAGTCCCCATTGTGCACRTTGTGATGCAGTGAAAAGTCCTCTGCTTCTCACTCAAAGTGCTCTTCGGGGCCTGTGTGCAGTGAGATGCTTAACTTCCCAAGGAGGCAGRATTCAAAATTTTCTATTCAGCTTTTCTTTGCAGAAAAAACATTATATCCAAGACAGGCTTAGGAAGATGACCCAAATAGACCAGTCCTCAGCCCTTCTCTCATTAGAATGGACAGGAACACACAGTTTTGTACTAGAAGGAAAAAATGCACRTTTTAGGCTCTTTTTTTGAGAGAAGCAGAAAAGCAAACTTACTCAATGAAGAACCTGGGAYTCAGCTGCAGGGTAAAACGCAGAGCCTGGATATCCTGAGGGGCTTCTATATTTTCTTCAGCTTGTTCCTTTGCCCATTCCACTCAATTACCTTTAAATAATAGCTATCTCTACACTGTCTTTGGCCCGATTCCCGATTCCAGCAGCCTCTGATTCATTCACATATCACAGCAGGAGTCCCTGGGCTGTGGAGACTTATTGGCAAATTTAACAGTTACAGAGAGCTGTTCAAAGTAGACAGTGGAGAAGAGTTTTACTGGATACATTTACATTTAGGGACAGATGCTCAGCTAACAGTAATCAAAAGTGAGGTGATCTTGACCTCATTTCAAACTACAAATAACAGGATTAATTCAGAGTGAGAGCAGGTTCCTACAGCYATGACAGTAACACAAAGTTCAACGTAAATTCCTTTCTTCTCTTTTTAATGGAAAAGCGTGTGACATAAGTGAATCTGAAGAGCTTTCTCTTAGTAACTTCTCCACTTGGCTGCAGAAGGGACACTGATCAATACTGTTTTCACTACTGAATCTACAATAATTTCCATTCCAGGAAGCAGTACTGCTCGAGCTCATGAGGGCAACCAGCTTCCACTAGGCTCCACACACAGGAAGAGCTGCACCTAAATATCTGCCTGTCCTTTGTGGATAATATAATAAAAGGGGTTTTGTTCCATTATCCACACTCCCCTGATCAAATCAGTGGTTACCATTAAAGAGGTGASGATGGTACAGGGCATGAGGACATGAGCTGATAAAAAACATGGGATGCAAGGCCAGCCCACAGTGCTCCGTGTCACATTGTCAGGGCCAGGAGCAGAGAATAAGCCTKCACCTGAGCAGCTCTGGACAGTCAGACACGTGCAGCAGTAACAAACCTGTCAGAGGGAGTGCCAGCCTTGCCAGGCCAGGAGAACAGCCACCAGCTGAGGGAACAAGGAAGGAGGGAAGCAGCCTTTGAGTGGGTCCTGCTGMAGGAGCGACAGTCATCCCATGTGCCAGGTCACGGGAAGAGARGAAGGAATCAGGCACAGCAAGAGGTGGAAAACCACCAAATTTCTCAGGCTAAGTGGGTACAGCAAGGCTGGGTACATTGCTCTGAGTAACAAACAGATGGCTAGCAGGGAATCTAAAGCACACTCAGGCAAGAAGCAATAGMAGGGCTGTGATAACAACCAACCCAGGTTTCCTCCATCCCAATCTGGTGCCCTATTCCAGAGACCACGCTGCTTTGCATTTCTCATTAAGACATTTCCTTTTCTGTCTGTACAGACAAAGCTGTAAAATCCCAGCATTGTTTGTACTTCAAACAGGACCATTTGGAAATGGCACCAGAGTCTGAATTTAATGGTTTGACTTGGGTACAGGGAAAATGTTATCTTTTTCTTGAGGAAGAAGATGCAATTAGGCAGCTCTGTTAAGTACAGGCATATATTTTTTAAGTCTAAAAAATGGATGCTTTCACAGACCAGTCAGGTCTTGGTATCTCTGATAAAACTTGGACTGCATCAAACAGAAGTGTCCTGTTCTCCTAAGCTGTGGCACGACCCAGTTGTACTGGGCCTGTGTCAGGAATTCATAAATGAGACTCACTTGGCCATGAACTTATTTCATTCCCTTTAGACAAAGAAGAATGGCTGATTAGTTTCCTCTGTTCATGTGCTAGTTTTTTGATGGGAACAACTGACAGCACTTCATATTTTATTCACTTCACTTCCCAGTGTTTGTGATTCTAAATACACCTCAGCAACCCTCACATACAGTGAGTGAAGGGAAGCCCTGCTGTAATAGACCTGAGCTCGGCCCTGCTCTCCTGTGGCTTCAGAAAAGAAATTGCACCAAAGCAGAAGGGTTGTGAGAGCAAGAACAGCAGCTCTACACCAGCACAAGCAGCAGACTCACCCCCTGGTTGYCACACTGCTCCAAGGAAAGCTGCACATGTGCCTCATTGTCAGCCACACTTCATCCAACTCCTTGGAAGGAGCCACGCTCCTTTTTTTGTGGGTCACACAAGGTCAGTGACCAAGAAACAGCTCCCTAGTAAAGGAAGATCAAAGGACCCAGGAGTATTGATGAGAGAAAGACATGACAAAGCTGTTGATTCCAAATGAGCCTAGGAAGCACATTTTGTCATTTTTCCATAGAAACAGATGCTCCAGCTGCCATGATAGCAGGACAAGTAGCAATGCTGGCAGTGAACTGATCTAATGTGACGTGAAATATCTGAGATATCCTTATCAGAAAAAGCGAGGAAGCACGTGAGCAAATGCTGGGTTTGTGTGAGCTCCATGKGAATGTCACAGAGCAATTATGGATACACAGACTATGGCAGCCAGGTCTGTTTTCCATGCAGACACACTGACCACAGTCTAGACCACAAACTCTTTAGGCAGGAATCCTCCTAAAGCAGCAACTTAATATCTCCAAATTCCCACTGCTGCAATACTGCTGCATTTGCTGCCTCCTGGATTTATCATGCTGCAACATCAGCAGGAAATGTGACCAAATGGAGAGGGACATGCTCTTCAATCCTGGAGCATAATGAGAGGTACAGAGAAGAGGTTCACAGGTGAAAAGCAGCAGCAGTAATAATAACGACAGGAGCAGTCCAGCCATCTCATGCCTACATGCTTGCTGGTGAATTAGGGCAAAGAGCCTGCCAGAGCTGCAGCAGCTGCTGTGCAGACAATTCTACATCTACACTAATTTCTTATCTAAATCCTTAAGTATATATTTTTTTATGTTGCTGCTGCTGAAATCWTCTACAAAATGGTGCTGCTGAGCCTTGAATGCTGCTTGTTTGGCCTTAATTCAGTGTTCAGCATCTAAAATCATGTTGTTTAATGCCAACCAGATAATTTTGTTTGCCAGTTKAAGGAGGTGGAGAGGGGAAGTGAGGAATCAAATGAAAGAAGATAAATGCTATATGGAGAATGAATCACATAGGAGCTGATATTCTGAAGTATGGGCTGAGGAAGGGCATATGAGGAGGAGGAAAGAATGTTCTATCATGGGAGCATAAGCTATCAACACAAAGAGAGTGGGCTTGAGAGGAATCTGAAAAAGAGTAAAGATTCCTGGGAAGARCAAGCAAATGTAGGAGGCAGGTTGGAACAAAAATGATGGTGCAAGTAGGAAGAGAAGCAAAGGTGAGAAGAGTGGGTAGAGCATGGGGGTGAGCCAGGACAGGAAGAACACACAGGCACAGAGCAGATTTCTACTGAAAAGGCAGCATCTACCTCATTTCAAGAGAAAAAAAGTGACAGCCATACAGCTGGAATTAGCAGAGAGATGAGAGGTAAGATACGATACAGGAAGGAATTAAAAAAATTGTAATTCCTGGATGCAGAGGGAATGTGTGTGAGTGTAGAAAGAAAGGAGTGATAATAGATTTGGTGAGACCAGATCTCTAAAGCACCCACCAGAGACTGGGCACCAGGAATGCCGATGGTAACAGCACTCTGAGCAGGCTGAGGGGCAGAGGACTGGATGTGACAGTGKAAGAGAGTCTGGGAGCAGACTAAGGCAGGAAAGGGTGAATGGAACTGTCACTTCTACAGATCAGATAAGCAGAAAGTTTGCTGTTCCTCTTTCTCAKGCCTTGGTTTTGGCTGATGCTGGGMAAAATGACAACACCGTCACCCCATTTTTTTGACAACAGAYAGAGATGCCGTGCTGGCTTAGTGGGGACCTGAGCCACTGAAGTGTGAAAGGACTGTCACAGTGATGATTCTGCTCCAGTGCTTTTGACTCCTTTGA